TGGGCATTTTCAACACTGATTACGGCCCCTAAATTCAATTAACAGATTAAAATATCTCTTCATTTTGTTCTTCCCAAATGGGTTTTTTTTTAAAAAGAGATCCATCCAAGAATTCTTCGGTGGTGGGTGTGCTGCTCTGTGCCTCCTTTAGCGCCCCTGCCCTCTGGGGATGCCCGCTGCCGCTGCCGTATGTAGTCCCAGGCTTAGTTTTCCCCCCTCTCCTCTCCCCCCTCCCCCCTACTTCCCATGTCCCCCTCTCTTCTTGCTGCCACTTCCCTGCCCTTGTGTCCTCCTGAGCCTCCCTCCCTCCTATTGGTGGCTCTGAGGATGGGTCTGTCTTTCCTGAGATGATTGTCCCCCAAACCAGTGTCTTATCTTTAGAGATTTCCTGCTAAGCCGGCCCCTTCCCCTCCTGCCTTTTTCCGGAATCTCTGGCAAGAACCCTTCAAACCCCACCTGGCCAGTGTCTGCTCCTCAGACCAGAGACACCCTGGGGTACCTGGCACATAGTAGGTTTGAAAGTCAGGCCATGGGCAGATTGGCTGTCTCCCCTGACAGAGTGGAGGCAGGGCTGTTGTCTCTTCCTTGATTGACACCTCCAGGCAGGTGTCCCATCCCCACCTCCCCAGCCCTAACTATAACAGGGCTCCACGGGCCTTCTGGGCTCCCGTTATGCAGATCACCCTCTTCCCTCGGGGCGCCCTGGTCCAAGCCTGGCTGGTATCTCCAAGAATAACAGCTTCCTACCTCCAGGAAGAAGGGCCTGCCAGCAACTAAATAAATACAACTTTTATGGGGTGATTAATACTTGGAGAGATAAGCTCCTATCCCAGCTTTTCAAACTCTCCCTGCTCCTGTCAGAAATGTTGGCTCAGGAAGAGCAGCCATATTTCTTGGCAGAGAGCTGGTGAGCCAAGATCCGCTCACAGATCCTCCCAAGCACCCCTCTGTGACCACCGCAGCCAGGGCACTGTGCAGGAGTGGGGGGGGACACAAGTTGGAAACCCCGCTCCTTGAAGAGTGTTTACATTGGGGGGCACGCCATATAACTGTTCTGAGGTGTCCTAAGTCCAATTCTGCAATTAAGTGTGGCTGAAGAGTAAAACCGGGTTGCGGGTGGAGGGGTGCGACTGGGGAGCAATCCAGAAGGACTTCCTGTAGGAGATGAGTTTCAAGTCAGGAACCAAAAGAGGTGAAAAGAATGGACTGGTTGAGGAGCAATAATTTAGGCCAGACAGGAGGGGTGTGCATAGGCACAGGGAATTAGCAGTCATTCAGGGAGCAGTTCCTTCAGGGGAGGGGGTGAAGCGGAGAAGGGGTGTGCACAGGTGAGGGGGGGGTCCATGAAAGTAGAAAGTTTTCAGCAGCTTCTGTGCTATCAAGTTTTTCAGTGAGAGGAGATGTGGCCCAGAGATGGGAAGGGGCCGGCCCAAATGCTCCCAGCCAGTCAGAAGCCAGGCGGGGCCTGGGATTCAGATCTCCCAGGCTGATCTGGGCACAAGGTCAATGTGAGATTTATTGCCACATCAAAATGGCAGTGGCCGAGCCCAGGAGGGCGTTGGGTGGGGGCTCCCAAGGCCGCGCGGCGTTCTGCTTCTTTCCAACGTCTGCCCAGGTTCCCGGGTCTTGGTAAACGGTCCCACCTGCCTACTAAGGAGAGAGAGTACAGAGACGCCCAGGATAAGCTTTCTGAGGGCCAGTCCCTGGGGTGACAGGGAGAGACCTGGGCCTCTCCAGAGATGGGCCCTGGGTCAGCCCCCCCCCTCCCTTTCCCTACCCTTGTGAGGGTTATGTGGTATAAAAAAGGGATATTTTGTTTTGGTGTTTAAGAAAAACCGCCCCTGGGGGGGTTGGTCTCCCCGGAGAAAAAAAAATTTTTTCCCCCCCCGGGGGGGCGCGGGGGGGGGGAGGGAAAAATATTTTTTTTAGGGGCCCCCCCCCCCCCCTTTTTTTTTTGGGGGAAAAAAGGGAGAAGGGCTGCCCCCCATTTTCTTCCCCTTTTGAAGTTTTACACCCCCCTCCGTTCAAAAAAAAAAAGTTTGTGTTCTCTCTCTCTTTTTAAAAATTTTTTCGTGGTTTTTTTTTTTTCCCCCCCCA